AAGTAATTATGATTCCTGATAAAATGCTAGGGTAATTTCCGGATAGACTGTAATGGGATTAAGAACTGCTGAGAAGTCAGGGTCTCCACTCAGCTATCTTAAACCATGTCAACCAGTCTTGAGCTGTTCTTCTGTTGTGGTGCCATTTCTTTTTTTTCTGTTTGTGTCTCTTCCAAAAAAGAATCACTGAATTGGCTGGCTTGCTGGGAGCCTCTTCTTTTGAGGCCAGTCTGAAATAGAATTCTGACACATGCTAATAACAAGTTTGTCTGACAAGTTATTTTAAGAATTCACATTTTAAAAATAAATTTGTTACATCATTTTAAAATGATACCCATTAGAATTGAAATACCGTAGTGGCATGATACTCAATACCCTACATGAAAAATATAGGAGTTACTTTTTGACACTTGGACATTTTACATTTCTTTATCTTCTCCTCAAATTCATAATTCTGCCTCTCATTTTATCCTAATATGATACTTCTTACAACTAAATTTACAACTTACAATTTCTTAAAATTGATTTACCTCGGAATCTTCTATAGCAAATCTATAAATTTTTGTGACCATAAGGCTTTTTGTGTTCCTGAGTTGAGTATACAGTTACCATTACCTAACTCATAAAAATGCACAAATATATTACAATTTTGACAAATAATTATTAAGTATAAAATTTAAATTTTATTGGAAATAAACCTCTTAAAAGAGATGGGACTAGTTTATTCCCTCTCTCCTCTATCCCCAGGAAGATACATACCCATAAATAAAAACTACATAATGCTAGAAAGTGAGTCTATTCTTGTTTTATATCTTTATGGATATAAGCTCTGAGGAGGGCTGTTCATATAACAACTACATGAGACTGGAAACAGTTTTGTTATAGTGACATTATTCAACTCTTTGAATTTCTGGTATATTCAAAAATCACATTAAAAAAATCTATCGGCTGTCTTCACTAGAAACTCTTTCAACTTTGTTGAAAGTAAAGAATTGGAAAACCAGTTTCCAAAAGGATTTGCTCCCCAGTCATTACAGTCCAATATAGTCCCAGGATTTCAAATAATGCCTTTTGGTAACCCAAGAATTCTAACACTCCAGGGCCATGCCCAGTAGTATGTAGGTAAATTTACTCTCTTGGGAAAAAAGAAAAAGGCAAAGAAAAGAAAGCCCTGCTTTATAGCTTTTTTTCGTTTACATGGTGTAAAGGCTTCCACCACAGGCAATTTCTTTTTTTCTTTCTTTCTTTTTTTTTTTTTTTTTTTGAGTCCGAGTCTTGCTCTGTCACCCAGGCTGGAGTGCAATGGCGCGAACTTGGCTCACTACAATCTCTGCCTCCCGGGTTCAAGCAATTCTGCCTCAGTCTCCCAAGTAGCTGGGATTACAGGCGCCCACCATCACACCCTGCTAATTTTTGTATTTTTAGTAGAGACAGCGTTTCACCATGTTGGCCAGGCTGGTCTCAAACTCTTGGTCTCACGATCTGCCTGCCTTGGCCTCCCAAAGTGCTGGGATTACAGGCATGAGCCACCGCACCCGGCCACCACGGCCAATTTCAAGCCACTAACCTGACCTCACTGACACATGCTTGGGAAGACAGGCGCACAGTCAGCTCTCAGGGCCAGTATGAGGCACTCACTACTGCAGGGTATCACAGTTAGGTTCAGACAGAGGGAGGAGTGTGCCCCTCTTCTGAGAAGTGTGACAGATGAGTGTGAAAGGGGAGAGTGAGGAGAGTTGGTCTGATCTCAGGGGTGTGCTCACAGAAATCGGTTTATGAAAGAGTACCCATAGGTGTTGAGAACATTGATTCTTCTAAACATGCCATGCCTGGGTACTCCTTGGGAAGGCTGTGCCACCATGGTTCCATGTGCAGCAATTTGGAAGCTACCAATTCAGAGGATGGAGTATGGGCCTTGGAGTCAGCCACACCAGGGCTCAAATCCTGCCTCTGTAATTTATGATGATTGAGAACTTGGGCATGTTTTTTCAACGTCTTGAGTCTCAGTTATCTCCCACAAAACACAAGAGGCCAATACCTACCTTGCAAGGTTTGTGAGCAAAAGGTAGTATGCATACGGTGTTGTATCTAGCAGGTGCTCAACAGATGAATGTTACTATCAGAGTCCTTTTAACTGAGTCTAATTGATGAGACTTGAAGGGTTGAGGATTTGGGCATCAGAACCTGAACCCAGTGAGAAACATCAGATCCCTTGCCACTTAGGGTTTACGTGCTCCAAAGCAAGTAGCTGCTTTGGTTCCATCTAAAAATGTTGACTTCAAAATAGAACTTTCAGCTTGTTTCCCTCCTTTTCATACACATTTCATCTTATAAAATGCAGAGGCTGGGATCTTTGGTCTATATGGAAGAACACACTCAACAGCAACAGTAGCTCTCCCAGGGAGTAGAACTCAAGACTGGTCTATCTTGGACCTAACCAGGAGGGTTATTACCAAGAAACAAGAGTCTCCTTCTAAGGTGGTTTTGCCTGTAAGGCAATCCCTTAGCCTGGTCCCTGAGGGCTTCATTAGAGTGGGGTCCTGGTGATTTTACTGGCTTGTTAAGAAGGCTTTTCAAAGTCTTGTGTAATGATGATGAATGGCAGGGCGAAATCATGTTAACACATTATAAACAATTCCAGGGCACAACCAGTATCTCACACTGTACTTTATTTTTCTTCACAATATTAACTAGACAGACAAGGAAAGTTTAATGGCAATGTGACTTTTTCCAACAACACAAACAAAGTGCCATTATAGCTAATGGTGGCCAACTGGAGACTTACTTTACCTTAACCGTGTAAAGCATCCTTACCATATATTTTTGTGTGTACAGTGTTGCAGGAAATCAGCCACCCCTTAAAAGTATCAATCTTAAAAAGAGCCATGGAAGGTAAAAGTATGAAAATCTTGATAACAAAGGTTTTCAATACAAAAACACTTATTGTATACTTATTTTTATTTAAAACAAAAAGAACCCCAGTAACTCAAAACAAAAGCAAACCTTGGTTGAAAACTTAAGAAGGTATAATAAACAAAACCACCAAAAGAAAGCTTCCCCAAAAGAAATGCAATCCACTATCACTCTTGCAAATTCTACCTTGGAGGGAAAAACTTAATGAAATGAGCTATCTGGAGGGCCCACGGCAGATTCTCCAAAAGGTTTAGGTGCATGGAATTACTCAGTGTCTATACTACAGTCCTATTTATTAATAGTCTCAGAATTTTTTTGATTAAGCGAGCCTTTCCATCCTCCACCAGTGTTCCTGTCTTCTGTGCTGAGCTTGGTATGCAGAATAACCTTGTTGTCGATAGGATGTTGGCTTGAAGTTATTTTTCTCGGTCAGTCCAGATGAACTGGTACAGTACCATTCATGCTCCATCTGGTTTTCTTTGCATCCAGTGAGATGCATATTTCATGGTTGTCCAAGGTCATGGTTGTCCAAAGACATGGAACAGAATGATTCACTGGGTAAGACTAAAGGGCTTGTATTATCTCTTTCCAATTCAGTTTCACATTGCTTAATTTTATTAAAATTTTTTTCTGTATTGTACATAATAAACATTTAGAAACAGATGTCCCTACCAACCAGAAGGTTGTCATTAAATATCCTGTTAGTTAAAACTGCACATTTATTGTTTAAATACCCATTAGACATATCCAGCTTGAAATTTATACCATTGCACTGCCAAATGGAGCTGCACTTTGAGCCGTGCTGATGTCTCTGGAATCTAAATGTCGTACCACAAACTTCAAAATGTTTCTCATTTGTCACGTAAGGTTCTTCGCAGAGGCATCACATCGACCCCAATACAGGTCCTTCATACCCCTAGTTCTGGTTATTCTGAAAACTTCCAACTCCCTGATCCAAACTTGGGAATGTTTTAGTCATTTAAAAATTCTTCCTCCTTCCCACCCCTCCAACAAATGTCCTTTGTCCCATAATAATTAAAAAAAAAAAAAATCCCTGAAAGATCCAAATTGAATAACAATAAAGATCTGATTGGAACCTTCATAAGCTTGACAATGTAGAATTGTATTTCTTAAAAAGTGTGTAACCACATTTGTCTGGGCTGCAAAAGACACCACAGAATAAGATCAGAATAGAATTTCAACTGATTCCCTAATTTCCTTAGAATGGCTTGTATTTCAAGCCTTTCCTGTTTTTCTCTGATAGACTAGGTGTACATTACTAACTATAAGTGATAAGAACGTCTAAAAACAGCCACTGCCTTAAAAGTACAATTGGAATGAGAGTTTAAGTTCACATTTATAAATTATTTGTTTTAGGGTAAGTTTAATTACAAACAGACACTATTTGCAATTCTGTTCACTCAATAGATCCTGGAGGTGAAAGCTAGACATGTGTTGGAACTGTCCTAGTTACTTACATTTAATCTTGATTATTATAACTCCTCTCAATTTATAATCACTTCCTAATTTTTCCCACTGGGCCAGAGCTACATCTTTAGATGATAAGCATTTACTAATAAAACAAAGATCACATATAAATGGAAGGCCACATCTGAACACAGAGAGGTAAGTGAGCTGTGGAGAGAATGGTGGCTTCTTGTTTGAACTAAATCAAGGTGCTTCCTTAATTCTGTGACTTTAATCCAAATCTTAAGCCTGCCATGCCCCTGCAAAATCTTCAGAGATGACCCGGTGGCCATAGACCCTGTCAGCTGTCGTTCCGGCCTTTCTTTCGGAGTATTTGTGCAGCAAGGGACTGGGAGGGCCGAGGAGGTTCTCGGATGTTCTTCTCCTTTTGGGGCTTTTTTTAGAGCCCTTGACCCCAATTTGGAAAGTGCGTATATTCTATTTAACTCTGACCCTGGCCAGTGTAAAGAGGAGTACATAAAGAGGACTGCTTTTTCATTCATAAAGAGCAGTTAAGATGCAGATGTGAATCCCTCTTCAGCACAAAATAGGGATGGTTTTCTGTTGCCCGACTGCAAAATAATTAGATATAATGGAAAAAAAAAAAAAGGAGAAAAAAATGACTAGTTGAGGCTTTTATATACATTCATTGCTTCTAACATGTTTTTAACAATAAGGAAAATGCAACATCAACTACTCTTAGAGCAAGTGCAGCCACAATATTGTACAGTTCTGGGGCCAAGCGGCTGGGTCCATTTACTGTTAAACCAGGTCACAAAACTCCACAGCGAAAGGCAGCCAGCCAGCAATTAACCCCTATGACCTCTTAATATATACACATTTTTCAAATACTCTGTGAATCCCATTTCAACAACAATAAAAGACAAAAAAACAGGCTTTATATTAAAAACGTCCATATTCTTCATTGTTACTTCTAAAGCAGCTTGGAGGATCTTACCACGTGGAGCATACTGCAAACTGACTCCATTAAAATGGTTTTGGCAGGATAGCAGCACAGGATTGGATATTCCATATTCATCACTTTGACAATGTAAACCTTTCATAAAATAATATTTTGCTTAAAAATTAGAATCATTCAAAGGTCTGATCATTCTGTTCCCTGAGGCCCGCCGGGGAGGTCTGGCTTCATACCACAGGTTTCCTGCTTTCTTGGTGGAGCGTAAGCGCCACTGCATTTCAGGAAGACCCTGAAGGACAGCCACAAGAAAGCCCCCACGGAAGGAGGGCAGGGCTCTGGGTGGGTCTGTGTTGAAACAGGCCACGTAAAGCAACTCTCTAAAGGTCAAACCACCATAGATTTTAATCCGCTGGTCATTCCCCATCTGGATTTTTAACTGAATGAATCTCAGGGGTTTAACCAAACATGCATGTAATCCTGAATAACATGAATTAAATGCGGAATTGCCCAGGGATGAATAAACCCTCAAGAAACAAGGTCAAAGGGACAACAGATATATCTGTCACAATAAACAATTCTGTTGACGTGGAAATGCACATGACTTGGTTGAAACAATGCTCCTCAGTGGCCAGTGACATCCAGGTTTTTCTTAGGTAGCTGAGACTCAGGGCTTCTCACCTTCTCAGAAATGCTTTTGAAGAATCAAGAGACAAAAATCCCAAACAGAAAATGATCACTTCTGCTCACAAATAGTGTATAGGCCATAACTAAATGCAATTAAAAAAAAAATAAACGCTGAGATGCATGTATTTTTTTAAAGCAGCTTTCGAAATATCAACCACAGCATTAAACACTGAACAGAGTACATTCCAAAGTTAATACAGATAAATGATATATAATGCAATAATGCCACAGAGTTATTCCATCAATGTCTCAAGGCTGATTCTAAACTGGAAGAAAAAAACACAACAAACACTTTCTAGTTTATTTGCTGAAGATGTCACTTCTTTTGTTCCTTCTTTATAGTTTCCCACCATTGATCGTTTTTAAGTGCCCCAGGATGTACAGATAATCCCCATATTCCACACCTGGAACTTTTTTTTTTCTGTCAGGTTTTCAAATAAAACCAAACTACAGTGACAAGATAATGTTTTACATGTAATTCCATAGATATAGGTCAATTAATCCATGACACCTTACTTCAATGCTTCCTTTAGGATTTAAGACCCTCTCCAAAGTCATTTAAAGCCTTGCTTTAAACTGCACAGGTGGGCCACAGCCACACAGCCAACGTGCCATGTGCTACGGCCAAAATGGGCCATGGCCGTTGCCTCTCCTCATGTTCCCAGCCTTCACCGTGTCCCTCTGCTAGGAAGGGCCCAGGGCCTCTGTTCCTTCTCTCTACAGTGATACATGTCTTAAGAAGGGTTGTGGCTCCCATGCTCCACGTGAAAATGGGCCTATCTGGAGGGCCCCAGGGTGACAGGCCCAGCCGCACCCCTCTATTGCTCTTTCTTGACAGTGGAATTCTGAGCTCCGTCAGCTTCCAGACATTCGGAGACGACACTGCCCTGTTGATCATCCCTGGAGGAGGCCAGTGAGGGCCCAGGCTCAGTTTCAGGACCAGGCCTCCAAGCTGGGATGCAGGCAGGTTCTGCGGACTTCGGTCTCCTAAAAGCAGGCACTTGTGGCGGCCTGATGCTCTGGGTAACTCTAGCCTTCCTGATGCCGAAGTCACCGAAATGTTTACTTCCTCAAGTTCCAGAGGATTATGTTCCTACTCAGACAGAGCCAGTATTGGGATTTGGGGGGTGCGTATCCAAAATATAAGAATATACACAATCAGGGCTTAAGGTACTGGATGATACTGTATAAATTGCTAAAATGCTTCTCGGCACAATTGGTAGCTTAAAAAAATACTTTCCTATGATTTAAGGGCATTTTTCCCATCGCTGTCCTTCGGTGTGGAAATCTCAGTGGGTACCAGGTCCATCTGAAGTTCCCAAATCTTTTCCTCCCACCAGGTATGCGTCATGTGAGTCATATGCAAAAAGTCTCTTCTTCAGACCAGGGAGGCATGGACTTCCCCCCAGGAACCCTCCCTCTGTTACTATCACAGCCCCCAGGGCAAAGACATACAAGTGAATGAGCACCTTCTTTCCAGCCTCCAGCAGCCAGAAAGCCAGCTTCCCCAACGATCAGGTCCTTTTTCCATACATCTGCTCTTCAAATGGTGAGTTAGTCCGGCCAACAACACAGAAAGCGAATCTGTGTTTACAGGCACAGCACATCCAGGTGGAGCCGCACGAAGCGGTGCTTGGCAATTAGTGGTTGGATTTCCAAAGACAGGAGTTTTGATGGGACTGTCTTAAATAAATAAATCTTTTTTTCTTAATAATGTAAAAAATAAATGATATTTCCCTTTGGCAGTAAATAGCTGATTCGACATTTTGCCTGAAAATTGTTGTGTGTGTGTGTGTGTGTGTGTGTGTGTGTCTGTGTGTGTGTATGTTTATATGTGTGTTATTTTTTCTTAAACAGCCTGCAGCTTTGTTTCATGGTACATCATTGACAATGCATATCATTTCTACTGCTTTAGTGAACCTTTTGCATATTTGTTTGGGGCAGGCGTGTTGACTTCACTTGTGGCCCAGATAGGCACCCAGGGTGATGCAAGCTCCCACCAGGGCCAAACTGAGCAGAGTCTTCAGAGACAGCCAGGAGAAATCAAACAGAGGCCGCATGCTGGGGCCGTACAGTTCCACAAAGGCGTCCTGCAATTGGGGTAGAGGAGGAAAGAAAAAGAAAGAGTATTAGAAAGAGAGCAGAGAACGCCACCCCACAGAGAAAAAGGTATCCTGCCAGGGCAGCCTGGGCACCTTCAGAAGGGCAAGAGGGGAAAAGGCAAACGCTCTTTGGAGGCCATGATTCAGAAACCACTGTTTTCATTAATTCAAGACATATTTATTGAGAACCTATTTACATGTCAGGCATCTTAGAGATACAGCAGTGCATAAAATAGACTAAAAGTTCCTACTTCACGAAGCTTCCATCTAGTGGAACAGTATATACAGCAATCAATATAATTTATCACATGGTGTAGGAGAGAGTGCTAAGGGCCGAGGAGAAAAACAGCAGAGGCAGTTAGAAAATATTAGAGGTTCTGCAGTTTTAGCTAGCACGCCCATCCAGAAAAGTAATAAAATGTAGCAATGATGATGACTGTCACACTCCTTGATTGAGTGTTGACGTCTTATCAAATGTCTGACATACATTATTTTAGTCTTCGTACCAAACTTTTTTTTTTTCTTTAAGAGCTAGAGTCTTGCTCTGTTGCCCAGGCTGCAGTGCAGTCGTGCAATCATGACCCACGGCGGTCTTGAACTGTTGGGCTCAAGAGCGATCCTCCTGCCTCTGCCTCCTGACTACCTAGGATTATAATGCTTGGCTAATTTTTAAAATTTTTTGTAGAGATGGGGTCTTACTATGCTTCCCAGGCTGGTCTTGAACTCCTGGGCTCCAGTGATTCTCCTGCCTCAGCCTCCCAAAGTTCTGGGATTAAAGTTGTGAGCTATCTCATCCAGCTAATTCTTTGTACCAATGTTACTAAGTTATTTTATTTGTTTCTGTCTAAAGATGAAAAAGCTGAGAATCACAGGGAATAAGAGACTTTTCTAACAAATGGCACAGCCAGGCTTTGAACCCAGATAGAAACCAGCACCCTTCTCTCTGCTGATGCCCTGGCATGGCTAACGGCAGCTCTGTGAGAGCATTTGGTCGACCGAGGGCTCAGTCGGTGGAGGGGCCAGGGCGGCCTCGACTGGTGCAGTGCCAGCCTCTAAGGTCAAGGTTCTCCCAGGGAAAGGGAGCCGTCAGAGGGTTTCTCTTGGAGGTGGCTAGACTGAACGACCACACTCAAATTGTGGATCTCACAAGGCATGAGATCAGGGGTGTGTCACTGGACGTGCAGGTCCGAGAGACAAAGAGGGTGTCTCCCTTCCATTCCTATCTCTCCATCTCAAGTCAGGTCTGTAGTGTTGTAGCAGAGTCCACCCTCTGGATCAGCTTGGATTGGGCAAATCACTGGTTGATCATTTCCTAGATTTGGGGGAGATTATGTTTCACATTTGGGTCCAATGAGTATTTGGACAACTTTCCGAATGAATATTTGAATATATACATCAGTAAAGGAATTCTTTTTAGTTCTGATTTATTCAGGTATGAAGAAAACAAGAATAGTTCCACATTATTCCCAACAACCCTGACTCAAAGCACACAATTTTATTACAGGAAACAGTAACATACCATGACCCTGGGCATCGCTGTTGGGAGGGGCTCCAACAGTGCACGGAGGGGTTCCCTTTCTCTGGGGCAAGGGCTGTAGTAGTGGGACCAGGGATTCTCTTTGTCTCCCCCGTGCTGGGCATGGTCTTGGTGCACTGTAGGTGCGTAGTAAATGTTTGTTCACTTAAGTTTTCTGAATACAATCATCAGTTTACATTCTGTCTTTGGCTTAATGCTTTGCCCAGATGCTTATTAATCTGTTTGGAATTACTCCTTCTATATGTAACGGCCTCAGAGAATCCTGAGGTAGTCTTGATGAGGGTTTAAGACATTGTTAGGGGAACTTTCTGCATTATTAAATATAGATTTATGCAATTATTTTCATGATATATAATATGTGCCATACTTTAAAAAATTCATTTTTACAGTGTTTAAAACTTTTGCTATTATAAATGATATCATGATATATTTTTGTACATAAATTCTTGTCTATTTGTTCAGTTGCTTTTTTGAAATAAACTCCTAGAAGTGACCTCAATTGACCAGTCATCAGTATTGCTTCCAGAAATCATGAAGGGCTTGCCTTGAGCCATCCTCACTCTCCCATGGGTTGCCCTCCAACCAATGCCACCTTTTACAAAAGGCAGGCACGGATTTAGGGCGCGGGTCACACTGAGGGTGATCCTGCCCCCCAGGGGACATTTGGCAATGTGTGGAAGCATTTTTAGTGGTCGTGATTTGGGGTGAGGGTGCTACTGGTATCTAGTGGGCAGAGGCCAGGGATGCTGTTCAACAGCCCACAACGCACAGGGCAGCTCCCCAGGGCTAACAGGGCCGAGGCTGAGAAACTCTAGTTGACAAGAGGCTCTGTAATCACAGACCATAGAAGAACAGATGACCCATCCAGTGTGTCAACAGCGTTGGTCAAATCAGCCCAATCAGCGAGCCCAGACCAGCGACTGCTCACCCAGCAGGCCTTCTGCATCTTTGGAGGTCCTTGGTTCACTTTTACCAGGAGAGGGCGCAAGGGCTTTCTTCTTCCTTTTAAATATCTATTGTTAAACGTTTCTAAATTTCAGTGTCAGAAAAGAGAGGCAATAGACGTACATAAAATGTGTAGTTAGAGTTCTTAGCACAGAGCTGAGGCACAATCATGATTGTCTGCCAAGATGCGCACCCCTCTCTATAAGCAGGGATCAGTGGGGCAGGAAGGAGTCAGGACTTCTCCGCAAGCCGGAGAAACTCTGCCTCTTTCAGGGAGCAACCCAAGACGTCACAGACACGGCCGCAAATATCAACTAGTCTTCCCATCCATGCTTCTCTCTCTGAGGCATGGGTGGGCTGAAACCCGCAACACCACAGCCAAAAACACCCCGAATTTCTCAGGGCACTGGCAATAGGTTGTCTGCAATTGGGCCTGACATTGAGAAGGTCAGTGGCCGGGCTCTGAAACCCTTTAGTCACCAACAGAGTTTTGTGTGGCAAAATCTGAATCGGACTAAGCCCCTGATCATTTGTCCTCTCTGGACCTGAAACCATCCCGGGAAACCGGAGGATGCAGGGACACACTCCAGCTGGCATTTTCTCCCAGTTGGGCCTGGCACACAGTGCTGGAGAGCAGAAGAAATGCTGTCCCAAATATCCCCACCTCCTCAGAGCTGGAATAATTCCCTCTCACTACCCTCACCCCCACACAAATAACAGTGCTTCTCATGAACCTAACAGGCCATTTCTGACATGCATGACACAGAACAATGTCATTTCTAGAGTGAGATGAGCTAAACTAGCAGCTCTTGGCCCAAAGCCTCAGCACAGAGGTGCCGTTGCCATCCCAGGGGGCTAAGAAGGGCATGGGACTTGGAGGAGGAGTCTGGGTGAATCCTGGCTTTGATATTTTATTAGTTTATAACCTTGAGCAGATAACCCAACCCCGAGCCTCATTTACTTCATCCATAGCCGTAAAATTCATTATTGTGAAGATTAACGTAGGTCACTCAAAGCCATTTGTAAATTGGATACAGAATGTGAGCTCATGGAAGAACAAACACCTTGCTCTTGTCTGTCCTCTTGCAGACCTGCTCCGCACCTACTCAACCTGCCCTTCCCCCAGGAGGTTCTGCTGAGCCTGCCATTTTACAGAAGCAATTTCCTGGCACTCTCTTAGCTTTCAGATCTGAGGATAGTCCGTAATTTCTATAGGAATTATGAATTAAAATGTACACATCCCGTGTTCCGGTCGAAGATGGGAAGTGATAATACAACGCCTACCTATCTATCCTTCTTTACACATTATTAATCAGATTGTAGGGCTACAGGGCAAGTCATTTAACCCCCTGGAGGTTGGATCTGGCCTCTAAACTTTGCCCTTCTACAATTCCAAAGTGCAAAGGAGACCCTGTGGCTTCGGGACTAAATGTCCTGAAAGCTTCTTTCGTAGAAAGTCTTCTTGCTTTTTCAAACATTCTGATTAGGGCGATTTCCGAAGTCTGTTTGAACAGTCTGTCATTATTTGTTTAAGTATGAAAGCTGTTTTAAATAAACACATGCTCATTTTATGTATGAAAAGCAACAAAGAGGGAAAAAGAAAACCTGGGTCGTCATGTGATTCGGACAAAATCCCAGTCTATATATTTAGGAAGCTCTGCGTCCCTTGCTCATGTCAGGACTGGCAAGGGCTTACCCGACTTCACGGATCACAGGTTCACATGGAAAGGCTCGCACCGGCTCCTCCCATGAGGGGGAGGTGGGCAGGGCCTCAGCTCTGGTGGCTCTGTGCACAATGGCTTCTCCATGAATTTCCAATTCAGAGGCCACAGAGGATCTGAGTTCCACCCAGGGCTGGCCCAAGGGGACAGGATGGCCAAACGCCCAGTCCCAACCTTGCTGCAGGGTTGAAACCAGGCCAGGTAGGTATGGATGGGAACAGACCAGGGTCAAGACTCCTAAACCCAGCAAAGTTGTCCTCACCCCTCCAGGCCATGGAGCACTCCCACCTGGGAGGTAGCCACCCTCCAACATTTTCCTTTTCCCTTCAGAACCTTCAATAATTTCTTTTTTTTTTTTTTTTTTTGAGATGGAGTCTAGCTCTGTCACTCAGGCTGGAGTGCAGTGGCTCCCAGGTTCAAGCAATTCTTCCGCCTCAGCCTCCCGTGTAACTGGGACTACAGGCACCCTCCACTATGCCCAGATAATTTTTGTATTTTTAGTAGAGAAAGGGTTTCATGTTGGCCAGGCTGGTCTCAAACTCCTGGACTCAAGTGATCATCTCGCCTCCGCCTCGCAAAGTGCTGGGATTACAGGCGTGAGCCACTGTGCCCGGTCCACTTCAAGAAATTTCATGTAAACCTACTTCCAAAGAAAATGAGATTTTTTTTTTTTTTAAAAAAGGTCAGATTGTGAAGAATGGAAGAGAATGTTAATTGTAAGTGCTGAAAAGAATGGCATGCAGTTGGGGATATGGGCGGGGTCCCAAAACAACCCTTATGCCCAG